ATCAACTAAAGGACTTGTATCTGTGCATCTGAGCAGACCAATGGATACAGACAATAGAGGGGTGGAAGGCATGTGCTGTGGGGCAGGAGCAGGTAAGGAGAGGTCAATGGGGGAAAAGAAGACGTATATAAAACTTTCAACAACAAAGAATTTTTTACAAAGTCTTTGAATTGTGAATGTTTGCATTTTTCAGTATAGGTATTTTAAAAACCCCAGTTATGAAGCACCTTGTTTATAGGACAAGAAATTCTAACCAATCTTATCGAAACAAATTTCATTGTGTAACAGTTGATTTGACTCAATGTGTAGAGAAATGAAAGAGTTGTTCAAGAAGTACAATTTATCTAGTGAAATAGAAATATTTGTTAGTGAATTGATTGAGTTTTGAAGCCTCTAACTTCTCAGGATGATTTTGGTTTTTTATTTAACAGTAATTTATGTCAACGAAGATTACATATATTAGAAACATCTGCAAAGATTCTACATTACAGCCTTAGCTGGTTTGGTTCAGTGGATAGAGCATTGGCCTGCGTGGACTCAAGGGTCCCAGGTTCACTTCTGGTCAAGGGCACATGCCCAGGTTGCAAGCTCGATCCCCAGAAGGGGGCGTACAGGAGGCAGCCGATCAACGATTCTCTTTCATCATTGATGTTTCTCTCTCTCTCTCTCTCTCTCTCTCTCTCTCTCTCTCTCTCTCTCCCTTCTTCTCTGAAATCAATAAAAATATATTTTAAAAAAAGATTCTACATTACATAATGGATTGCTATGCAGACAAAAAAAGTAAGTTTGATAATATGAAAGGCATGGCAAAATGTAAGGTGGAAAAAATTACCTAAAAATTGGGGTTTTCATTATAAGCGTTTGTGTCAGACAATAAAGTGGGCTTTTACTGTAAAGATGTTAAGAATAACTGGCTTGGTGGCTTGATCCCAGTGTTTCCTACATATTTAGTGACAAAGCATCAATGGCAATATACAGAAACAGGAAGCCCTTGTGTGCTCTTACTATTGGTATTTCATCGGGTATGAATATAGCTCAGCTTGAGTGAATGTGCTTGTTGAGATGTTAATAAAAAGCTTAAGAACAGGAAGATTAAGGTTGTTGGCACATGAAATAATAGCGGCTACAGAGAAAAATTGATGACCTTGTGTTGCTATTTATTTTATGCCCTCATCACACTAGCAACTAGATAAGGGGAAGTTTTTCTAGCATGCCTTAAAAATATTATGGTTTGAATCAAAGACCCACTTTTTCCCCTGCTATTATGATAAGGTTTTTTTGGTTTTTATTTTGTCTTGTTCTACTTTTATACAAAGGCGGCATTTGTTAGTTTTCTTTCTTTTATGTTGCAACTTTTTTTGGTTCTTTTAAGCTGTGATAGCGATGGTAACTTATGCTTTTAATTTTGTTTGACATGCACAAAACAAGCCAGCATCTGATCAAAAGCATTACATAAAATCTTTCTTAAGCTATTGAAAGGTGCTTTGATGATTTCTTTCCTCTGGTTTGTAGGATTAGGACTGAACTTGACTAAATTGCTACCATTGCCATCACTCATCTGTGGTAAAACTACTGATATTTGCTTATAAGAAAAAATGTTGACTAAGGATGTCTGCTATTTGTTTTCAAGAGTTGTCCAGTGGGAATGTTGTCTATTTATGTGTTAATATGAAAGTGTTCATTTTGTTTGCTGCTGGGTTTTTTGTATGTATGTGTATTTTTATTTTTATTTTTTTCTCAGTAGTCTTGTATTAGCCCTAGGTGAGCTTTGTCTCCTTAGCCAATCAAAGTTTAATGACTTTCTTTTTTCTTTTTTCTTTAATTAATGTGTCATTGTGCACCTATTAAGTCTTGACCAGGGTTTCAAGAATGTCTGCAGTGGGTTTTGGAAACAGACTTATCATTATTGATTTGGGGCTTCCCAGAGATAAATGCAGTTCACAGTTCATTGTTGAGCTCTAATACAACTGACCATTTAAAATTGAACAATAGTTTACTGTTTGAAACAATGTCAATTGTTATACCTTGACATTCTAATTAAAACATGAATTGTAGTGATAACTCAATGCAAATCCAACAGTTGTATTTGGAGTTAAATTATTTCAACAAATACATTTATATAATGAAAAAATTGGAAAAAAACACAAACATATTTTCCAAGTTAGTAGCATGTTTTCCTTTTATAATTAGAGAGAAAATACCTTATAAAATATTTTTAAATGTCAACAACACAAACAAAAGGCAGGTCTGAAGAGCTAAAAGAAGAATTGAGAATTGTGAATTCGCTGGCATGTGCTTTGACTTCATTGCCTTTGAATTTCTGAGTTTTAAGAGTTCCTTACTATGAATTTGACAGAACCATGCACCTATTATTCCCTGAAGGTAGTTTTGAATTTCAAGAATTTACTAGCCCAGAATATATACCTACTCTCTCTTAGCTGAATCTATAAACTATTCTATTTCAAATGCTATGTCAGTTTCAGGCACATTCTCTTAGTCATGACAATTGTTCTTATTCATAATCTCCCCAATGAATTATTCATTATTGGTAGTTAACCAAAACTTCCCTTTCGTTACTTGCAGGATCTGGCTTAATTTCAATGTTATGTGGAGGCCAGATTTTAGCATAGTTTGTTCAAAGACAACTTTATCTATCCATACCTGGATGATTTTTAACAGAACAGCTGAATTAATTTGCCTCAGACTTTCTATATTATTATATACATTGTGTTAGAGCTAAAATGTATTATTTGTTCATACCTATATTCAAAGTTGAATTTATTCAAGATACTTTATAACTATGAAAAGAAAAAAGAGAGGTTCATAGAGAGCAGAAGAATTCTAGTAAAGAATTTATGAGCAAAATGTTGCAAACTCATAAATGCAGTGTTTCTCAAAGTGTGTTCTGAAGAATATTAGTTCTGAAAGATGTTAATAGTGCCATGCAAAGAAAATAAAAGTTGCATTTGTTTTTAAAATTTCTTTTAATTGATTTCAGAGAGAGGGAGACAGAGATAGAAACATCAATGATGAAAGAGAATCATTGATCGGCTGCAACCTGCACACCCACCTGACAGGGAATCAAACCATGACCTCCTAGCTCATGGGTTGATGCTCAACCACTGAGCTACAAAAGTAGTCTGCAAAGAAAATAAAAGTTGCATTTGTTTTTAAAATTTTTTTAATTGATTTCAGAGAGGGAGACAGAGATAGAAACATCAATGATGAAAGAGAATCATTGATCAGCTGCAACCTGCACACCCACTTGACAGGGAATCAAACCATGACCTCCTAGTTCATGGGTTGACGCTCAACCACTGAGCTACCAAAGTAGTCAAAAGTTGCATTTTTAAGTATATTTGTGGAATCCTGGGTTTATGTGAAACAGGCTTATTATTTCAGGACTTCTCAAAATCTTTACTATTGTGAACGAGTCCTCTCTAAACAGTAGCATACCTTATGCATGGTTTCTCAAACATATTTGACCACACTTTAGAAGATGCTAATGTATCATATGGAAAATATAACACAGGAGAAGGAAGATTCAAAACTATAGCAAATCCCTGTAGCCAAATTAGATTCTATTATTATCCCACAGTATTTGTTTCTATGTTAGAGCATTACTTATGAAATTATTGCCTTTTTAAAAAAACACAGTGTCTATTTCTTTCCTTAGACGATGATCTTCTAACACAGTGCTTCTGAAAATTTAATGTGCATTTGAATCACCTGGAGATCTTGGTACAATGCTGATTTTGGTTTAGAAGAGATGTGTGGAGCCTGTAAGTCTGTATTTCTAGCAATTCCTGCAAAATGCCTGTGTTGCTGGTTCATGTTGCTACTTTGAGTAGCAAGATCTAAGTGCTTGGGACCACAGGTGTTTTTAGGTTGTATAGCTCTGTACTGCCAATTCTATGTTTTTCATATCATTGTTTTCAATAAATGTTTGTTGGATTGGAATTACAACTGAGGTGAGTTAAATTTATATGTATCTTAAATATTTACCACTTTTTAATATAGTTTAAATATCTCCAGATACAATAGACATGCATACCATGTTTACAACTAAAATATAAGCATTGGAAAAAGGACAGAAAAGTAACACGCATTCCCCCACATGCTCCCCCCCCACACACACACACAAATACACAGGCAGGCATATGCGCACACTCCCACACACAAACATTTTGGAAAACATTTAGAAATTAAACAAAAGCAGCTCTAGAATGTTTTTCCTAGATGACTCTTTTAACCCTAAAATCTATTTTTTTCATAAAGATAACTACTAAGAAATGTCATGCTAATTATATATATTACAAGTGACATTCCAAAGATGACTTTGTGTTAATCAGTTACTGATGAGGTAATTTAAGCTTCTCATGTATATGTAAGTATGAAAATCATGACTGTCTCCCTTGCTTCTTTCTCACATTTACGTATTCACACAAATGTTTGTCTTCCATCATTATTCTCATTCTTTCTGTTAATTTCCTCCAAAATGTTTGGTCCTAGACGTATCAAAATATGTAACTCATCTATATCAGTCCAAGAACTACAAATTCCAATTACTAATAAAGATTATTTTCATCTTCCAAAAGAAGGCAACATAAAGTAGCTCTAAAAGGGTCAGCATTATGATCTTTCATTCCCCAATTAACACCCATTGATAGCTCAGAAAACACGTGTCTTGTTAGAGTTAAAACAAAACTCAATTCTACTCTATGAAAAATGCAAATATTGAACAGATCATGAATATACTGATGACAAAGCCTGTCCCTATGGAAGCTCACACATGGAAGAAATGTACAGAAACACTAAAACTGCCTAAATAAATGATAACTAAAAAAGATTTGGTTGATTAAGTATATAATGAGAATTAAGTTGCACTGACAAATTAGAATAACAATCTCTCCAGACTCAGAAGACCTTAATATCGCCTCACATTGTATGTAGCTTAATTAGCATGTTTATTTTCAGGATTAGGAATCCATCTGCTCAGGTAATTATTACTGTGTTAATTCTTCTTTTTATTTTTGTGTCCTGATCACAAAAATAATCTGTGTTTTCTTTTTTACTAATTAAAGTGATGATCATTATCTATTTGATGACACCACTTACAAATACAGTTAGGTTGCATATTTTAGCTTAAAAATAGTGTGTATCAGACATATCAAATAAATACTCACTTTAGTTTTTTACTGCCTGAAAGTATATATAAAATTCTCAAAGGCCAAGCATCAAGTCCATTTAATTTTCTTTTCTAGTGTCTCACATAGAATCATAAGTTGGTAGAATCCTATCTGCTATTTTGATGCATATTTTGCATATTTTTAAAAAGATAATACTTTTATGTCCACATAACCTTTTCCTAAGTACGCTTTAAAGTTATTATACCTTGTTATATTGTAATGTAAATCAATTTATATTTCCCTTTAATGTTTACTTTAAATATTTTCCAAATGAATGAACAGTATCTTTATTTTTGCTGATAGTGATCCCAATCTATATATATAAAAGCCTAAGCAACCATCTGACCATCCGACTGGTAGCTATGTCACACACTGACCACCAGGAGGCAGATACTCAATGGAGGGGCTGCCGAGCTAGGGTGACTTGGCAGCTGTGGTTCTCAAGTGATACACCTGGAACCAGAGAGGAGGGAGCCCGACTCCAGGGTGCATTACCCGAGAACCACCCTCTTGCAATCCAGGACCCCTCAGAAGATGTCGGAGAGCTGGTTTCGGCCCAATCCCCACAGGCCAAGTCGAGGGACCACACCAATGCACGAATCCATACGCCGGGCGTCTGGTATATATATATATGTGTGTGTGTGTGTGTGTATATATATATATATATGGACTATTGTTATATCTACAGTCTAAATATTAGACTCCTATCTAAAATTTGATGGGTTTTATTCAATTGATTTACCTTAGCAGTTGAATTGATAAGTTGAAAAGCTGTCTGGTACCACTCTAGAGCTATAGAGATTATCATATAGAAGTGACAACATATATACTGTGAGATAGAAAGTTTTATGACAAACATCCTAAGGAAAAACAAAGTCACTTTCTAAGGTTGTTGTTCCAGACTTTAAAAACTTGAATTGCTAGGTAAATAAATCTATAACAAAAGCATCCAGAGATATAGCTGTGGTAAAAATATCAGAAAAGAGAGGAAATACATTTTGGCTCATATGGAGAAATGTAATTCATCAAAAGAAAATTTTTACTACAGAAAAAGGCTTAATAAAAAATGTAAAAGTTTGTGAATATTTCACATTTTAAAAATATATATTTGTATTGATTTCAGAAAGGAAAGGGAGAGGGAGAGAGAAATAGAAATATCAATGATGAGAGAGAATCACTGTTTGGCTGCCTCCTGCATGCCCCACACAGGGGATCGAACCCACAACCCAGGCATGTGCCCTAACTGGGAATTGAACCATGACCTACTGGTTCATAGGTCAAAACTCAACCACTGAGCCATGCCGGCTGGGCATATTTCACATTTTTAATATAGGAAAACAAAGTTTCACTTTTTCCAAGTGTTATGCATTATTTACCTTAGCTGTTTCTTTTAGAGTTTTCTTCATTCTAGTCCCAACTCAGGAGAGATGGAGCAGCCAGGTCAGTTTAACTGCTTTGTGTATGAAATGATTTTTTTTGGTTTGTTTTCTAAAGCTATGCTCTCATATAGTACAATACAGGGCATGTGTGCACATAATTGAACCCTATTTGGGGCTACATGAATGGCGTATTAGTTTCCTACTTCTGCTGTAACAAATTATCATAAATTTGGAGGCTTATAACAACACAAATTCATTATGTTGGCTCTGGAGGTCTGAAGTCTGAGACAAATCTCACTGGGCTAAAATCAAGGATGAGGCCCTGATGGGGGGTAGTTCGGTTGGTTAAAGCATGACCTCACTATACCAACATTGTGAGTTCAATCCCCAGTCAGAACACATACAAGAATCAACCAATGAATGCATAAATAAGTGGAACAACAAATCAATGTTTTTTTTCTCTCTCTCCCTCTCTAAAATCAATAAATAAAAATATAAAATCATGTGGGCATCTTTGGGGACCATTGTTCAGCCTCCCAAAGAGGGGCTTCCTCTAAACCAGCGGTTCTCAACCTGTGGGTCGAGACCCCTTTGGGAGTCGAACGACCCTTTCACAGGGGTCACCTAAGACCATCGGAAAACACAATTACATATTGTTTTTGTGATTAATCACTATGCTTTAATTATGTTCAATTTGTAACAATGAAAATACATCCTGCATATCAGATATTTACATTACAATTCATAACAATAGCAAAATGACAGTTATGAAGTAGCAACAAAAATAATTTTATGGTTGGGGAGTCACCACAACATAAAGGGTCACGGCATTAGGAAGTTTGAGAATCACTGCTCTACACATACGTGAACATGTGCATTTTCTTGACTGCACATTGTCAGAAAGATGAAAATCCACATTTTTCAAAAATTATCCAGAAGTGTCATGGACTGTACTAAAACATAAATGACAGACCTGGTTAATTTAATAAAAATATCTATTTTTATTTATTTATATACATGTTTTCAGGACCATATCCAAATGCACAAAATACCACTAAAGTAGATTAGTATAAACTTTCAGAAAGGGTAATTTGGCAAAATATATCAAAGTTGAAAACACATATACTTTAATTCAGAAATTCTACTGCCAGGACTTTTCCTTACAGATGTAATTGGAAAGACAAAAACTACAAAAGGTGATCAATTATATGACTTATAGCATTTATTTAAGAGAACATGACGTAGTTATTATAAAAAAATGAGGGTGATGTATAGGTGTGTATAGAGAAAGACATTCAAGACAAATTCTTTTGTGACACAAGTTCAAGACAGGCTACAAAGTCTAATATCTATTTGTAGTTTCAGAATATATATGTGCTGGTTCCCAAACTAATTTTTGAACAGGACACATGATAAACTATTAATAGAGAGGGATGGCAAAGGCTAGAAAAGAAGACTTTATTTTATGCTTTTCTACCATCTACATTTTCCATTGTGGGTATGTATAACTTTGTTGTATAAAAGAAGGTCAGAGGCAGTTAAGAGTAATAAATAATAATTATAGTCACAGCGGAATCAATAATAATGTCTATATGTCTAACACAATTCTAAGCACTTTACACAGATAATTTTGTTTAATTCTCACATCTCGATGAGATAGGAACATTATTATACCCTCTTGGCAGATGAGAAATTCAGGCTCATGAAGGTTAAGCCAGCTGTTCAATGTCACACAGCTGGTAAAGGAGGAGTTCAGATTAAATTTAGATCTATTTTACCTCAGTGCTCCCAACTACTATTTTCCTTTTCTTGCTTCTATTTTTCATGCTAAAATAAAAAACCCTAATAAAGATGATCACATATGTTTTAATACCAGTAAAAACGTTCTCAAATGTCAAAACTAAAAGTATTCTTTTTCTTAACATGTTGTAAATCCAAACAGAAATTACTACATCATAAAGGCCCCAAATTTTTGAAGCTTAATAGGTTCAAAATATGAAAAAAAAATTTAAAAAATTTAATGAGGAGAAGCATTACTCAAAATGACAGTGTGTATAAACACTTATAAGGAGGACAATAAAATGAAATACAGGAAGAAATACAGGAGGGGAAATGTAAACAGGGAGAATGGAGTAGGAACAAGGAGAAAATTTATGAGATTGTGCGAACACTGGTGATTTACAGCTTTAAGAAAATGCTTTATAAAAGTAGTCCAGGCTATCATTTCTGACAGCCGTAATTTTTTTCCATTGTATGCACTAAATAAATAATCTATTTCTATTACAGATAGGATGAAGTTGGGGTGTTTTTCAATGAGAAGATGATACCACTAAGTCATATCTAAAATGTTTTATTGCAATTGCTTCCATGTACCAGCACTACTCATTTTTTTAGGGAAAATAATAACAAATATAAATAAGCAACTTATTGCCGCTCCAGATTTGATTGAAA